TGCAATTTTCAGGAATTTTTCGCGATTTTTGCAATTTTCAGTGATTTTTGCGATTTTTGCAAGTTTCAGTAATTTTTGCGATTTTTGCAATTTTCAGCAATTCTTGCGATTTTTGAAATTTTCAGTCATTTTTGCAATTTTTGCAATTTTCAGTCATTTTTGCGATTTTTGCAATTTTCAGGCATTTTTGCGATTTTTGCAATTTTCAGTCATTTTTGCGATTTTAGCAATTTTCAGGAATTTTCGCGATTTTTGCAATTTTCAGGAATTTTGCGATTTTTGCAATTTTCAGGCATTTTTGCGATTTTTGCAATTTTCAGTAATTTTTGCGATTTTTGCAATTTTCAGGCATTTTTGCGATTTTTGCAATTTTCAGTCATTTTTGCGATTTTTGCAATTTTCAGTCATTTTTGCGATTTTTGCAATTTTCAGTAATTTTTGCGATTTTTGCAATTTTCAGGAATTTTCGCGATTTTTGCAATTTTCAGGAATTTTCGCGATTTTTGCAATTTTCAGTAATTTTTGCGATTTTTGCAATTTTCAGGAATTTTCGCGATTTTTGCAATTTTCAGGAATTTTCGCGATTTTTGCAATTTTCAGGAATTTTTGCGATTTTTGCAATTTTCAGTAATTTTTGCGATTTTTGCAATTTTCAGTAATTTTTGCGATTTTTGCAATTTTCAGGCATTTTTGCGATTTTTTCAATTTTCAGGAATTTTTGCGATTTTTGCAATTTTCAGAAATTTTTGCGATTTTTGCAATTTTCAGGAATTTTCGCGATTTTTGCAATTTTCAGGAATTTTTGCGATTTTTGCAATTTTCAGGCATTTTTGCGATTTTTGCAATTTTCAGTAATTTTTGCGGTTTTGCATTTTTCAGGCATTTTTGCGATTTTTGCAATTTTCAGTCATTTTTGCGATTTTTGCAATTTTCAGTCATTTTTGCGATTTTTGCAATTTTCAGTAATTTTTGCGATTTTTGCAATTTTCAGGAATTTTCGCGATTTTTGCAATTTTCAGGAATTTTCGCGATTTTTGCAATTTTCAGTAATTTTTGCGATTTTTGCAATTTCAGGAATTTTCGCGATTTTTGCAATTTTCAGGAATTTTCGCGATTTTTGCAATTTTCAGGAATTTTTGCGATTTTTGCAATTTTCAGTAATTTTTGCGATTTTTGCGATTTTCAGTAATTTTTGCGATTTTTGCAATTTTCAGGCATTTTTGCGATTTTTTCAATTTTCAGGAATTTTTGCGATTTTTGCAATTTTCAGAAATTTTTGCGATTTTTGCAATTTTCAGGAATTTTCGCGATTTTTTGCAATTCTCAGGAATTTTTGCGATTTTTGCAATTTTCAGGAATTTTTGTGATTTTTGCAATTTTCAGTAATTTTTGCGATTTTTGCAATTTTCAGTAATTTTTGTTTTCAGGCATTTTTGCGATTTTTGCAATTTTCAGGAATTTTTGCGATTCTTGCAATTTTCAGGCATTTTTGCGATTTCTGCAATTTTCAGGCATTTTTGCGATTTTTGCAATTTTCAGAAATTTTTGCGATTTTTGCAATTTTCAGGATTTTTTGCGATTTCTGCAATTTTCAGGCATTTTTGCGATTTTTGCAATTTTCAGTGATTTTTGCGATTTTTGCAATTTTCAGGCATTTTTGCGATTTTTGCAATTTTCAGGAATTTTTGCGATTTTTGCAATTTTCAGGAATTTTTGCGATTTTCGCAATTTCAGTCATTTTTGCGATTTTTGCAATTTTCATGAATTTTTGCGATTTTTGCAATTTTCAGGAATTTTTGCGATTTTTGCAATTTTCAGAAATTTTTGCGATTTTTGCAATTTTCAGGAATTTTTGCGATTTTTGCAATTTTCAGGCACTTTTGCGATTTTTGCAATTCTCAGGAATTTTCGCGATTTTTGCAATTTTCAGGAAATTTGCGATTTTTGCAATTTTCAGGAATTTTTGCGATTTTTGCAATTTTCAGTCATTTTTGCGATTTTTGCAATTTTCAGGAATTTTTGCGATTTTTGCAATTTTCAGGAAATTTTGCGATTTTTGCAATTTTCAGGAATTTTTGCGATTTTTGCAATTTTCAGGAATTTTTGCGATTTTTTGCAATTTTCAGGAATTTTTGCGATTTTTGCAATTTTCAGGAATTTTCGCGATTTTTGCAATTTTCAGGAATTTTTGCGATTTTTGCAATTTTCAGTAATTTTTGCGATTTTTGCAATTTTCAGGCATTTTTGCGATTTTTGCAATTTTCAGTAATTTTTGCGATTTTTGCAATTTTCAGGCATTTTTGCGATTTTTGCAATTTTCAGGCATTTTCGCGATTTCTGCAATTTTCAGGAATTTTTGCGATTTTTGCAATTTTCAGTCATTTTTTGCGATTTTTGCAATTTTCATGAATTTTTGCGATTTTTGCAATTTTCAGGAATTTTTGCGATTTTTGCAATTTTCAGAAATTTTTGCGATTTTTGCAATTTTCAGGAATTTTTGCGATTTTTGCAATTTTCAGGCACTTTTGCGATTTTTGCAATTCTCAGGAATTTTCGCGATTTTTGCAATTTTCAGGAAATTTTGCGATTTTTGCAATTTTCAGGAATTTTTGCGATTTTTGCAATTTTTCAGTCATTTTTGCGATTTTTGCAATTTTCAGGAATTTTTGCGATTTTTGCAATTTTCAGGAAATTTTGCGATTTTTGCAATTTTCAGGAATTTTTGCGATTTTTGCAATTTTCAGGAATTTTTGCGATTTTTGCAATTTTCAGGAATTTTTGCGATTTTTGCAATTTTCAGGAATTTTCGCGATTTTTGCAATTTTCAGGAATTTTTGCGATTTTTGCAATTTTCAGTAATTTTTGCGATTTTTGCAATTTTCAGGCATTTTTGCGATTTTTGCAATTTTCAGGAATTTTTGCGATTTTTGCAATTTTCAGGCATTTTTGGCGATTTTTGCAATTTCCAGGCATTTTCGCGATTTCTGCAATTTTCAGGAATTTTTGCGATTTTTGCAATTTTCAGGAATTTTTGCGATTTTTTGCAATTTTCAGGAATTTTTTGCGATTTTTGCAATTTTCAGGCATTTCTGCGATTTTTGCAATTTTAAGGCATTTTTGCGATTTTTGCAATTTTCAAGCATTTTTGCGATTTTGGCCATTTTCAGGAATTTTTGCAATTCCAGGAATTTTTGCGATTTTTGCAATTTTTACAATTTCCATGAATTTTTGCGATTTTTGCAATTTCCAGGAATGTGCAATCTTCAGGAATTTTTGCAATTTTTGCTATTTCTGCAATTTTCAGGCATTTTTGCGATTTTTTCAATTTTCAGGAAATTTTGCAAATTCCAGGCATTTTTGCGATTTTTGCAATTCTCAGGCATTTTCGCGATCTTTGCAATTTTCAAGTAGAAAATAACACGCTGAATCGAATGAGACCATAATCAGCTCGATAGGACAAATAGTTATTGAGATATCTGCACACAAAGTCAGCTTTTCGCTTTTATTGCCAATAGGAGCACTCCGGTAGGCTACTACGTCTCCATTTTCCAAAATTCGTCGATTTCCACCACAGATTCGTTCATTTCGACATCGAATTAGTCCATGTGAATTTCTTCAGATTTTTAATAGGCCAAATAAAAATTTTCATTTTCCTACCTGACTTCAGTACGATCTAGTCACCGAGCCATCTTCGGACGGCCGAAAGTGCCAGAAAACGGCAGAAATCCTTACGAATTATTGCTTTTCCAGTAGAAAATAACACGCTGAATCGAATGAGACCATAATCAGCCCGATAGGACAGATAGTTTTTGAGATATCTGCGCTCAGAGTCAGTTTTTCGCATTTATTGCCAATAGGAGCACTCCGGTAGGTAGGTAGGTACGTCTCCATTTTTCAAAATTCATCGATTTCCACCACAGATTCGTTCATTAAGACATCGAATTAGTCCATGTGAATTTTTTCATATTTTTAATAGGCCAAATAAAAATTTTCATTTTCCCACCTAAGTATGATATAGAAAGTGCCAGAAAACAGCAAAAATCTATGCGAATTATTGCTTTTCCAGTAGAAAATGACATGCTGAATCGAATGAGATTAAAATCAGCCGGATAGGACATATAGTTTTTGAGATATCTGTGCTCAAAGTCAGCTTTTCGCTTTTATTGCCAATTGGAGCACTATTCAATACATTCAAACAAACAAACAATCAAATCTCTCCTTGTTATGATATTAGTATAGAAAAATATTGAAAACTATTTTTCAAACATAGTTTTTTTGCATGTCTGATTTTCTTTCATCCAACATATTGAATAAAAAAGTCAAATTCAAAAATAACTGCATGATTTTTGGGATTTTTTTTGTTAACTAATCTGATGAAATTAGTGATTGGTGATATTATTTCATAGCATAAATGTATCCACTATTATGACTCATTTTTGCTGAGTGAAAAATTGCAGTAGTGCATTCATTCTTCTTTGTTGAAGAAACCTAATTCTGAATGAATTTTAATGATGTAATGTTATAGGAAAAAGGTAAAGTGTCAAGTGTTAGAAAAAGATGGACAAATGGCAACATTTAAACTAGAAGGTGTGAAAAAAGAACTCTTTTTTTTATGAAGTAGGTATGTATCTTGAATAATAGTAGTTTTTTCACATCCACAATGGTAATGAACCAAATTTTTGACTCTTGATCAATATAATTTCCTAATATGATATGAATATGAAAACTTCTCAGAAATTTATCAAGTATAAAAAAATGTCTGTAGGTATAAAAACCTCAGTGACATGATTTGAACTAGAGTTTTTTTTTTAGTTGCTCATTTTTATCTTGCCTTGCATCATCAGATCTTATCAATTTGAATTTTGCAATTGAAAATGTTTTCAGCTTGCTTTAATCCAAATTGTTATATCTTATCTCATTGCAGTTGCAGTGGATTAACAAACAACCAAACACTGCAAAGAATATTATCCTGATGAGGTCAAATGGTCAAATGGACTTACAATTTTTCCTTCTGGAAGCTTTTTGAGCACCCCCACCAGAACCACAGATGACTCTGTTTGCAAAACTAGAGCATCATGGGTTTGACAAAGTTTGTCATTCAAAATTGTTTGCAAAAACCCTGTGCCATCTCTGAGTGTGATAAACATCATGTTCTTTCCCTGCCTTCTTATCCTGTGGACCCAACCATAGATTTTAACCCTCTGATCTCTGTGTTTTTCACCTGAAATTCACCCAGAATTTGGTACATTTCAAGGATGTGACTTGATATGTAACTTACCATCAAATATGCGAATTCGTTTGGCTACTGGAAGAGACTTATCCTCAGTGATAATAATTTTTTTAGCTTCTTCCAAGTTCTTGTTTCTCTTTTCTGCATCTTCCTCCTCCTTTTTGGATTTGTCTGCTTGTTTATAGTTTTCTCTTTGCCATATTTTTTGTATTTTTTTGAGTTGGGATTTAGCAGCTGGTTCGAATTCTACATTTTCTTTACCATCTACATAAATCAGTGGGAATGGTTCGGAGCCGGCTTTGTGCATTGCCTTGAGAATCGTTTTGAATGGGTTTTCTTTAGTACCATCTCCTGTTTGGTCATCGCCTTTGGTATCAGAAGTATAGATTGCTGGATGATCAAAAAGTTATTGTTATTCGGTACCGGTTTGAAATACTGAAGAGCCTAAACTTACGTTCAACGTTCTCTCCAGACATGATGGAATTTGATAAGTAGTTGGTTGTCCAGCTGCTACTGTTCAGCACAACTTCCAAGTCAGCAAATGCAGTAAATAAAACTGATAAAAGTTGCAGTACCTATGCGAAAACGAGGAGGTGTGGGAAATTTTCTGTGAAAGCTGATGAAAGATTTCGAAATATGTGGAATATCTGATGTTCGAAACTAGAGTCTAGGGCCAGCACCTTCTGAGGAGGCGAATTTACCCGAGCGGACACAAGGCGGACATGATAAAATCAAAGATAAAATACTTCGAAGAAGGGATAGTCATTTTTGTACAGTGTTACTCGTAATTAAAGATTAAAGGTGACTAACCATCATAGACGAACCAAACTCTATGCTAACCATTGAGTATTCACACTAGTAAGGGTATTACTCATATTATCAATTGCCGTTGCATAGCAAATCTTACATAGCAACAAACTTTTTTTGCCTGAGCAGTAAAGGCGGATTTAGCGGGCGCACAAACACAATTTATTTCATAACTGTAATTTTAATGTATAATTCATAAAAGTTGAACACTGTAGTCCATATGAGATGATTTATCCAACTCAAAAGTTCTAGTGCACAGTGCATAACATCTTATAATACATAACCCTGAAGTTCACAATTTTTAACTTTTATCCATTACACATTAAAGTTACACATTGTGCTTGTGCATTCGCTAAATCCGCCTTAAAAGTACACCTTTTCTGCCCGTTATTAAGTGTCATTGAAGAGTCAAGAGTCACTTTCAAATTTCAATGTTATTTGGAGAAAGTGAAACATAGAATTTTTTCTCCAAATTATATAAAACCAATTTTGTGTAATTTTTTTATTGAAAACTCGCATCATTTTGTGTTCATTCATTATTTTACATTCAAGTCTGTATGCTCTAATTTTTGTTAATATACTAATCTCTCTGTATTCATCAATGATTCAATATTCTGAAAACAATTTCGGGTACCTTCGCCTCCTCAGAAGGTGCTAGCCCTAGACTATAGTATAATCGAGTAACATTCCGCACAAGGGAACCATCCTAACCTATAAAACGAAATGACAAACGTGAGGTCCTTTCTTTTGCACGAAAAGTGTAACACTTTGCTACACTCCGTGTAATTTACACTGTATTTGTATAGTTTACTGAAATTTCAGAAACGGAAGTGCACAATATCAGTCCAGTGGAAAACGGTATTAAGATACAAATTATTGCACTTTCCCTCTGTGATGATGGAAACTCCAATGCAAGGAAAATTACACGGAGTGTAGTAAGTGCTACACTTTCAAAGCAGAAGAAAGGACCTGACGGCTAAATATCTAGACTGTCTGACGGGTCATGATCAGTCTTCCTGTTTTTCTTCTGTTCTGTGCTCATCACAGAATATAAGAAACAGATTCCAAACTATTCAAGGTTTTGCATTCCATGGTGATCAGTCATTAGTGCGCGAATTTTGAATCATGATCAATTTTCCCAATTTATTACATCAATCACAGAGTTTTAAATATTCAATTTTACTACACTCATTTACAAGACTTCAATTCAAACACAACAGCACAAACAAAATTATTGAGCTTGTGGTGCATCAGGATTTGAAGCTGATGATATAGCCATGAAAATCAGGAGAGGAACTATGTACATCCACTGAAACAAGAAACAGAAGATTAGTATTTTCCTTGAATAAAAATGTTGAAATCTAAAAGCCCAATCAATTAGTTCAGAAATAGGTACTCACATATTTGGCAAAGAAAGATCTATTGTCTTTGGTTTCTCCTTTCTCTTTAGCCTCCCTCTCCCGTTCTAATTTTTGAATGAATGTGGCTGTATCAGGGCTACAAATAAAATAGAAAATTATAATACAATGTCAGCATAAAGACAGAGAAAAATAACTTACATAGGGCCTGTTTCTGCTTGCCTCACATAAACACTAGTAGTGAACTCTTTCAGTTTGTCCAAAGGAACAAAGGCTCCTTCACAAGTAGATTTTGAAGCTACTACAAGGGACACAGCTATAATTCTTCCAGTATAGTCTAGTGAAACAGAAAGTCTGTCATCTAGTTCTGATTCAGCAAGCATACACTATATGTGGAAAAAAAGGTGTTTATCTGAATCAATGTGGTTAAATTAGGATACTCACTGCTTTCACAGTTGATATGAAACTTCTTTCACTTCCTTCATCTGTAGTGACAACTGATCTAACTTGATATAATTTATTGGAAACTGCTAGATCCTACAATATTTCATTTCAGAATTCGGTAGAATGAGAATGATGTGGAAACTCACTTGTAGCTGTTTTTGTTCCTGTGGTGTTAGTGGATTCTGTTTTACCACAGCTTGGCCTAATCTTAGACTGTATATTGAAATGTTACCTCTTTCTACCCATTGTTGGTTTCGGTCTAAGGTTAATGAATGCTGCAGTCTTATTGTTGCTGACCCATCATGTTCCAGGTTGCTCTTGAATAATAAAAAACACATTCATAAATTGTAAAATTATTATACAGGAACTTACAGCAAGTATGAGAACAAGGCTGGAAAGTACACTGATGATTTTTATTAAGGACAACATGATTGTTCAATTATATTTTATAATTGTCTACTAGCAGATAAAATTATTTATATTTCTTATTATTATTCAAAAATTCAGCTAGGTTATGTTTATTTATGATTATGTCAAATACGTTTTGTCATATATGTCAAATTCACAGAGTAGTCAAATGAGAAGTGCCTAAATCTTTCGAACCATTCCCATCACGTGATGTTGAGATTCGTATTTCTTTTTTCGCAATAAAATTGTGGAGGCTGAGTTTGGTCAGGGAGTATTATTCTGGCCCACTATTAGCATGGCATCAGCCCACTGTGATCATTTGTATAGTGATTTAGGCTTTCAAGGATGTTTTTCCTTCCTCTCGAGGGTCTCGTAACGAGCGAATGCGCATGCGTCCAAAGTGTATCACTGTGTGATCAATGTGACGATGGGGTTTGGCAATGGTTCGAACACTTTAGGCTCTCGTGTCAAGCAATGAGAGTTCATTGGTGTCAAATGACAGTTAAAACGAGTGCCTGCAGACAGTTTCCGCACACGGCTACATCTAATATTCTAGCTTTTCAACGCAACCCCAGCGGAATGAGGCACAACTTTTCGCTCAATTTTGCTGAAAGGGTTAGAAATACTGTCTGTAGGTTGATCGAGGAGGTGGTACATTCATTATTCCAGATTATTCGGGATTTTCTCTCCTCGTCTCTATAAAATAAAATATCAATATTATCTCAATATGCGTGTAGTAAGGACAAATCAGATGATTTGCTCCAAAATGCCACTGCGTTCAAAGATTATTCCTATCAGAAAACCTAAAAGAAAAATTCACTAGCTTGTCAGTGACAATTTGTATTGAAAAAGGTTTGGAGAAGAGAAATAAAGGTATATAGAAAAAATATCGACTTTTTACTTATCTTTGGTCGTTTCGGGAACGAATCTGCTCCAGTTTTCAACATTAAAAATGGATTTTTGTAATGTGAATTCGTATTTTTCTTGACACTTCCCAGTTCCCAGTGACAATTGGTGACGTAGGCAATCAAATGAGGTACAGGATGTTTTCATCAATTGATCTTGAATTTACCATTTTCATTATCAGATTTCGATAGTGAATACCATGTTCTATCTATATCAATTGAACAGGAAGCAATGCTATTGTCTCCGTTCAGAAGAATGCAAGCAGATTCCTTGAGCATATAATGGAAGATAAATGTTATAGTTTAAAAAAATGTTCACCGTTCTTAGAAATAATATGCAATTTAAATTCAATGTTAACTTACCTATCTCAAGAGTTCAAGCATTCATACATTTTCTATGGCCTATCATCTCTTATATACACGCGATGTTCCTCGAACATAATATGGATTTTCTTTCGTGCGTTCCAAGAGACAAAATGTCAATTCCGTAAATATACGAGAGATACCGACGCCAATATTACAGCCGAGATCATTGATTACCACACTGATACGACTGGTATTCAATTGAATGAGGTTTCTCCAGTTCAAATAATGCATTTATGCACTTGGACAAAATAAACATTCAATGTATCAGTGGCGTAACTGCAGACCAACGCAATGTGTTACAATTAGGGTGCAGTACAGTTCTTTCGTTTCTCAACAGGGATTTTTATTCCCATGATTCTGAAGGAAATACCTACTATTTTTTACAGGTCATCCATTTTGAACCGAATGTATATCAGAAAAAATGTTTTGAACGATAGGTTTTCACTACGTCATTAACGGTACGTTATTACGGACGACAACAATAACACGGTTCTAGGACGTTATGAGCAAAATGTCATAATAACGTTATCAACAAAACAGTTTCAGAAACTTCCTGCTCGGACGTTTTTCGTAAGTCATAAACACAACGTTTACAAAAAATCTCAGCACTTATTCCTGTGTGATCATAACGTCCGCTGGAAACTTTTTTTTTATTGCTTGGAGCGCATGAAAGGAAATTCCTATAACGTTCAAAGAACATCGTGCGTTCCTAGAGAGGATATAGGGAACAGGAGGTAGGTATTGTTTTTTTTTTTTGAACTTCTGGAGATTGTATGTTGTTGAGAATACTCTTCCACAGGTAATGAATTCCAGAGCCTAGCCGTTCTATGGATGAACTAGTAACGTTTTATTCAAGATATCCTATAATAGAATTTTTAGTTTTCACGAGTGATCTGAGGTCGTTTTCTTATTGTTGATGTCTTACTTCACGCCCTTGATACATAAATAACAACTACCAAGGTGTATATATTACATTTTTTTCAGCACTTGGCGATATATATTTCAATCATTATATGACAGCATATCATCGCATCCACAAGTAATTATTGATATATACTTATACTTATAAGGAACTTTAGACCAGTGAATGATGGTGATTCACCGCTAATATTCACTGGTGTGAAAATGGCTATCGTTTTGCTTGAGGAGGTACAACAGTCGTGGACAAATAATTAATATAGCAGATATCTTCAATTTTTAGTTTCCTAAATGTCAAATGAGTTATGATAAAACAGTTGTTGAAAATAAACTCATATATCAAAGACAATAGTATAGTTGTGGACAAAGTATAGTATTCTACTCGCATATAATGAGGGCTATTATTCACCTTCGTGAATAATAGCCCTCTCATTATATGCTTGTTGAATAATATACTATTATTACTTGAACAAGAGAATGCTTGGTTCTATAGCTAGTGGTGGAAAAATTACATTATTAAGATTCAAGAAACGCCGATGAGGATTTGCAATAATGCATTATACAGGGTGAGTCATTGAAATGGGAAAGTGAGATAACGACTTCGCTGTTTGAGATAGATGAATAAAAATTTTTGTGATGGTCTAGGCTCATGAGCAGCATATTTCTAAATTACTTGGCGTATACAGGGTGACTGAAATATGCGTGGCGTCTGAAAGTTATACTTTTTATTATAGGGCACCCTGTATTTTATTACCTTTCCGGTTTCTCCTTTTTGATTTTTGAGCTGATTTCATCAAAATATCACACTCGGGATCTAGCGGGAATGATAGCAGAGTGTTCAAAATCGAGATTTTTCAACTTTAGGATTTTTTTGTGTCGAAACTATTAATTATTGGTCAGAACGGCTCACATGTCTCTGTATTAACTATGGATTCCGTATCGACTGATATTTAATTTGGACGAATACAGGGTATAGTTCAAAATTCAGAATTATGAACCACCCTGTATTCGTTCAAATTAAATATCAGTAGATAGTAAATCAAAAGTTAAGATAGGGACATATGTATGCCATTTTGACCAATAATGAATAGTTTCGACCCAAAAAAATCCTAAAGTTGAAATATCTCGATTTTGCACACCCTATATCTCTGTAATAATTCTCGCTAGACCCAAGTGTGATGCATTGATGAAATCAGCTCACAAAGGAGAATCCGAAAATGCAATGAAATACAGGGTGTCCCATAAGAAGAAGTATAACTTTGATACGTCACGCATTTTTAAGTCACCCTGTATAAAGCGAAATATTTTGGAATGTGCTGCTCATGAGCCTAGATCATCTCAACAATTTTTGTTCATCTATCTCAAACAGCAAAGGCGTTATCTCACTTTCCCATTTCAATGACTCACCCTGTATGAGGGATCTTTGGACAAACGAACGCTTTCTCTACGCTTGATGCGGATTGGTAATAATTTTTGAAATAATGAAGAAAGAAAACCCATGGACGTCTGCTTGAATGGTTTCCTCGTCCATTTACCTACATTTAAAATGATTTGGCATTGATTGGTATGCATTATTACGCACCATATGAACCGTGAATAAATTTTAGACCATGCTCGTACCTAGAGTATAATCTATCACTGAAATTTCTTATGTTCCACTTCTATACTTGCGAACTGAAAGACAAAGATACCTATATAATATATTATATAGGGTGTTCTAAAATGTCATGTAGGTACAGTCAACAGTACGAGGTGAAAAAAAAAGAACGATGTATGGTTGCATCTGTACTATCTTTTGGCTTTCCTTAAACAAACAAATAAAAAACGAAAAATAGAAAATAGAGTCCAAATCAGTTTTTTCAAATAGAACACCCTGTATATTTTCAACTCTAGTGAAAGATCTTCTTCTTCTGTCCAAAAATATATATGTATAGTTTGCTACTGTTTCCTCAAGGCGTTTTCGACTAAATTCTTGCGGCACTACTTACATTTTTGTAACATTTTCATAATAAACTGGTCAACATTGATAAAGTCGTGCTCCAAAATATAGCCTGAATTCAAGTAGAATAACTCACGAATTTCCTCACCAATTTGAAATCGGTTTTCACCGCACCCCTGAATTTCAAGAACGATATGATTCCAGACTTACGTTTCTAAAAACTTTCTGTCCTAAAATGATCATATATGATATGTCCTGCGATATGTGCATTTCATTTAGAAAAACCCCGTATATAGTTTTCTGTTATCTTGAAATTCAACTGTTTCTGATGCTGCTCTATATACTCAGGGATTTCAATTAAAGCTTCAGTTCAATTTGTTGACTGATGCGAATTGACTGCACGAAATTTTTCAAAGGCATATACTCCGGTGTGTTAATTCTAGTAATTAGTGAATTGGAAATTGGTGATTAATGAATAAATAATATGGTGTCATTGAACCTGCTTGATTTGGCTTTAATAACATACCTTTCGATAAATTATTTCAATTCCATTAGTGAGAAGTCATGCTAATCAGTATCAATATTTGCTAACGAATTTCCTTGCAATTCGTCTCTTCATTTGCAATACCATATTGAGCAACCATTAACAACTATAAGGTGGATCAAACAAGCAGAGGCTAATGGACGAGTGGACTTATGAGTTATAATGAATTATTGGCGTTCAATTACTCCACTGGGTCGTTGCCCAGCGAGCACAAACATCCCTGGGATGTTTTGGGATGTTTTGAAAATGTTGGCATGAAGATGTTATTTTGAGACGTAATATGCACTGACCAAAGAGGTCTTTGAAGGATATTGAAGTATTGTTTTTGTTCTTCAGTGGCATTTCTTTGTTTGCCTACTGAGAGGTATCCCTGGGATGTTTTGGAATGTTTTAGAAATGTAGGTATGAGGATGTTTTTTTGAGGCATAATATGCACTTCCCAAAGAGGTTTTAGAAGGATATTGAAAGTATTGTTTTTGTTCTTTTGTGCCCTTTCTTTGTTTGCCCCACCACAACGTCTCATGCTTACGTCACAATACGAGGAATTCTGATTTGTTTTCGATTTTGTTCTTCTTGTTCGAAATTGGCATTCGCGTTTGCAGCGTGTCACGCTTACATCACGCTGCTAACGAACAGAAAGGAATTTGGTTAAGTTTATTGTGTTAGAAGACTTATTTAGTTTGTAATAATGACCATCAGATGCAAGATGTGTTGTTCGGTGCCTCAGTGTAATCAATATATAAAAGTACGAATTCATCAATACACAGCTTCTCCGCAGTTGCAAAATTATGCATTGTGGAGAACATTTCAAAAATTGGGAAACCTATTTCCAATTATATGTCTGTGTGTAGTAAGCACTACTCAGAAACCGATTAAGAAGGTAATTTCATATCAAGAAAATATTTTTATGTTCAATCTATTTTTAATGCATTTTTTCATTCAAGGGAAATGGAATCCTAATGCAAAAGTTCATATTGACAAAAGGCTTCAGAAAAGTACCTCGAAAATGTTTTTTTTTACAGCGATTTAATGTGCGCAAGACGCGTTGAAAATGTTCTGTTGTGTCCATGAAAAGGCTTCTAAAAGAACTAGGGAGAAGGTAGTTTTGTAACATATCAAGGACATCTCGATAATTGCCGCCTGCGGCGGACATTGGCTGTTCTATAATAGTTCTATTCATGTGTGAACAGAACATCGCAGTGGAGGTTCAATGTCTCGAAATCTCGTACTTTCAACATCTCTGAGATGTTTTTGTGCTCGCTGGGTGGGGACCTAAATTGATTTTTGCAGCACTCCTCACACTTTTTTCAAACGTACCGTCATGGTCACCATCTGGCGATACGTCGAATGAATGGTGACGTCAGTTTTTATGCTGTTTCGTTATTGGTCAGATAATCTTCCATCCCCACTCACGAAGCAAGGTTGTCAAGCCACCAATTGAAATCAAGTTATCAAAAAGATGTTAGAGTCCTGTCGTTGAATAAAACATAATAGGAGGAACCCATGATATTACGACAGTTTATTCTTAACTTTTTCCAGTGACCAGCATGTCCAAATATTCTCAATACTCTATAACAAAATATCATGTAAATATTGGAGACTTGGCAACATTGTGCTGAATACTGAGAAGGGACAAGACCACGCCCACAAGTCGTGCGCGCCGTGTTGTCACGTTCACTGTTTCAAATATCCTCTAGTGTGAATTAATATAATCACTATGAGAATTTATGAATGTTTGAATAACTGATATTTCTGAAGTTTCCAATCGGCAACAACTGTGATATGGTCTGCCCCTACTTACGAAATCGTAACGTCAGTTTTTACTCACGGTGAATTTCTATCCAGTCGAGAATTACCATGGCATTTTTGATGATTTCATCATCTAAAACTCGATCGAAAAATTCTAAAAAACAGTCTACTCGCCTATTATTGTTTCATGCTCATTGCAGAATATGTCACCTTCTTCCATACCATTTCACTGCAGAAATACTATGGATACTCAATTATCATAATTATTAACAAATGTTGAATGATGAAGTATCACGTTGGCATATTCTCCTTAATTCATACTGAATTCTCGACAAATTCTCTAAACCAGAAATCCACCAATTGGAACATCAACTCGCCTGATCTTCAGACGTCTTGATTCATCTTAGTGTAGTCCATATCTGTCAAAAATACCTGGAGTATCATATGAAGAAATGCAAGTTAGTTATGATTATCTAAGAGGCTCTATAAGCGAATTCTATATACGTACGTTATTTTTGGAACATAAACTTCAGGTTTGAATATTTCAATGAAGAATTCCAAATCTGATTATATAAGTTAGTTATGAGTATCTATGGGGTTCTATAAGCGAAATCTATTCACGTCTGTTTGGCACATAAACATCAGAATTTGAATATTTCAATGAAGAATTCCAAATCTGATGTTGAAACCTAATTATGAGTATCTATGAGCACCTATGAGGCTCCATAAGCGAATTATATTTACGTAAGTTATTTTTCGCATATAAATTTCAGAATTTGAATATTTCAATGAAGAATTCCCCATCAGATTTAATAAGTTAGTTATGATAGTATCTATGAGGCTCTATAATAAGCGACTTCTATATACGTACGTTACTTTGGCTCATAAACTCCAGAATTTGAATATTTCAATGAATAATTTCTCATCTGATTTCATGCCAATCCAATCAGGTAACTCAGAATTACTGAGAATTCACAAGTTTTAGTTGGACAATGCAAGCCTGATCTTGAATATATCCAAGGTTTGCGGATTTAAATGAGGAAACATGGTTCTTAAATCACATATTTCCCAGCAGTTCAGTTCAAGAGTTTCGAAATAACACTGGACAACGAACTTTTGTTTGTTTCTGTGGTGAAAATTTATAAAGTCTCAAATTGGTCCCTTTTACTAACGTTTATCGAATATGTGGAGACAATTTGGAGTTTTTTTCTACTTCTTTGGTTTAGTTCAATTGTTATATTTCGTGAATCTACACCTTCAACTGATATTGGAGAAGTGGGATAATTTACTGTTTTAGCACATCAAAAATAGTAAGATTGACGTGAATTATATTTCATAAATAGGCCTTTACAATGTGCCCTGGGACATGAGCCTGATATAATTCTAACTGCTTGTTTTTGTTGCCTAAAAAGGTTTTGCATGTTTGCGCTGTGTCCCCAAATCAGAATCCCATATTGCAAGTGACTATTTATGAAAGCAAAGTATGCCATTCGCATCAAATCATGTGATACCGATCTCCTCAATCGCCTCAATAAAAACAAATTTGAAGATAGATGTTCGGTATGAACGTTCCATGTTAATTTGCTGTCGATATGGAATCCTAATAATTTACCTGGGGCAATATTTGTAGTATTCTTCCTAATTGCTATAGGTAGTTATTTTCTGAGTTTTTTCACATTCATTTTTAGTTTGATTGAAGAAAAATATGTCCCTGCAATTTTTTCAGCTTTATCGTAATTTATGATATTCTATAAGGACCTAACTGCTGCCCTGATTTTATCGGTTGTCAATAAGTTTTTATGTGGTACACAATAATTGGATTTGTAATTCAATTTTAGTTTTATGAAACGTATCTTAAGAGTCAGGCTGATTTTATTTGAAAATGACAACGAAACCACAAAATCATAAAAGTAAACTGTATAGGTACCTACCTAATGTATGAAATTATACCGAGAACAATGTCAAGACATGAAATAAAAGTAAAATTTATGTCTGTACCTACCTCGATGCAGTTTACACCTTTCTCTATTGCATCTAGCATTGATAGGTGCAAGTGGTCAATTCATTGCAGCGGGAATTCCAATATCCATTGCGGCTAAGTAGAACTAGCCGAAGTCTGTCAAATGTGTTGAAATCGAAAGTGAGGCCGTTTGTGTACAAGAAGAATGTGACAAACAGTATAGTTTATAGTTAGTGAACTAATCGTGCAACATAGCGAGAATAAGTGTTTTTTCCGGGAAAACAATGACATATTTGGTGAGCCAGTTTGATTTTGAAGAAGACTCGATAAAAATGTCTCCAAAATATTTTGCCACATGGCCTCTCTTCTTGATTTGCTGTGATGAATCTACTTTCAAGATATCTGAATCAAAAATACTTCCTAACTCAATAAAAATCTTAATTTTTACTGTTTACTCTGCGAGTTCAAAAATTGCTTCACCAATTTTTATACTATTTCAAAAATAAAATCATGAATTAATACATTTATATAGGTGCAGTTTTTTCCGTGCCAACTGAATTATACAAATCTCATCGTCTGTAGATTTTTAAAGATTTTTTGCTATGTTTAATTCAGCTTTTTTCATCAGTTCAACAAAGTATCACATATGAAAGATCAATATTTTTGTGATTTTTTGAATAAAAATGTACCTACCTCCTTTTCACACAGAATGAAACGTTTGTATATACAGGGTCTTCACGTATATATTGAACCCCAACTTAACTTCTTTATGTATTGTGCAATTTTTTCTTCAAGGGACGTTTTTTCATATTTTTTTCCTGTAGATTTCATATATGCCAACAGAAAAACAGTTGAACAACCCTGGGACATCATTTCAGCTTGACCCCAACTGTGATAGATCGATAAAATCAGCTCTTCAGGGAGAATATAAAAATGCAATAAACTACCCTAACAACACAGGGATGTCCTAGGTACGTCCCTTTTTTGTCCCGCGGTACAAGGACATGATTGGGGCATCCAGGGGATGTCGCGCAGTGGTTTTCCAGTGGACATCCCGCCCGGTACATTCCTAGGTTATCCAATTCGTGTCCTTGGAATATCTGATATCCATTCACATCAGAGTCATTGAATTTCATCAAAGTATTAAGTTGCATTTTTTTGAAAATGTTTGTTTTTCTTCCGGAAAATAATCGAAATGAAAATAAAGAATAAAGTTTCAGAACTTCTCAAGATATTACCATTTTTTGCAAACAGAAATCGTACATGCATAATGCCCGTTATTTTTAAACGCCCAAGAATGATATAATAATTATACCCAAATCCTAACAAAGTTGTATTTATTCAGGTTTCTGTAGTCAAGGCCTGTTTATAAATCTGTTCAGTACATAAATCTTCAGGAGGCTCAATAGCCAATGGAGTAAGATGCTTGCCTGATAAGCCAACGGTCCCGGGTTCAATCCGTACTTGACCTTCATTTTTTTTCTTTTGTTGAAGGGATGTCCCTGGGATAACCTTGGGACGTCCTAGGGCTATCCTTTCTTCGTACTTGGTACATCCCAGAGACGTACCAGAAGGACATCCCTAGGATGCCTCTTTTTGTGGAAAGCGGATGTCCCTGGGACGTCCCTAGTATGTACAATGTCCCGACAAAGGATATCCCAAGGACGTCCTCGTGGAAAATGAAGGATGTCCCTGGGACGTACTCGTGTTGTTAGGGTACAGGATGCCCTATTGAAAAAAATATAGATGTTGCGCACAAGTATGTTTTGTGATGTTCAACTATTTTTCTGTTGGCAATATATAAAAAAGTTGAGTGGGGGTTCGAAATATACGTGGAAACCCTGTACTACAAGAAACACGAAACAAATCATTCCTATTTCTGAAGACTTATTCGTTATTCGAAGTTGAACAGGTGAATGCTGACTCACCCAGTATACGTATGACCGCCTGAGCATAGAATCGTGCAATGTCGCAGTCTTTTCTATTGTGCTGCGTTACCTTGATATGGTGTGCCTCAAGGATCGTTTCCAACCCGACTACTGCGAAATACACCTATAACTCTTCAGATTTGTCTTATTTATCTAATGGAATACAGTTTCCCGTTGACCTGGAGATGCAAGCTCTAGTCCAACAAACAGACTATGAGGAAGTATCACAAAACCAGTGGTTTTCAAGGTAAATAGGGTTCACCCTGATATGGGGAAGATTTGTACAGGGTGATTCACCATAAATGTCCCCCCTCTCTAGCTCAGTTATTTTTGTACAGATTTCAAAATTTGAAATATCATCTCAAATGATTTTCGATAAAGTTTTTTTCCGCTACATAAAAAAATACAGGGTGCTCGAAACAAATGATCTACAGGGTACTATTTGATTTTTTTTAATGGAACACCATATTTTTCATTTTATTTTTAGATTCTCCCTGAAGAGCTGATTCGATCAATGCATCACACTTGGGGTCTAGCGAGGATGATTACAGAAATATAGGGTGTTCAAAATCGAGATTTCTCAATCAACTTTGGAATTTTTTTGTGACGAAACTATTCATTATCGGTCGAAACGGCTTTCATGTCCGTGTCTTAACTTTTGATTTTTTTTTTTTAGAAGCCGTTTTGACCAATGATGAATAGTTTCGACACAAAAAAATCTTGAAAAATCTCGACTCTGAACACCCTATATTTCTGTAATCATTCCCGCTAGACCCCAAGTGTGATACATCGATGAAATCAGCTCTTCAGGAAGAATTCAAAAATACAATGAAATACAGGGTGTTCCATTTGAAAAAATCAAGTAGCACTCTGTAGATTGTTTGTTCCGAGCACCCTGTATTTTCTGATGCAACGGGAAAAAAATTTCTGAAAAATCATTTCAGATTATTTTTCCAATTTTTAAATCGGTTCAAAAATGAGTGAGCTAGAGGGGGGGAACATTTATGGTGAATCACCCTGTACTAGCTGCATATACGTAACTGATCAATAAAATGAAGAGATTTTGTATTTCGTGTTGAATTTATTATAACATAGCAAAGCGCTTTCGGCTAAAAAGCCATCATCACTGCTATACCTGCAAGTAAGTAACATTTTTTATGAAATTTCAAAAAGACAAATCAGAAAGTGTTTTTTTTATGTTCTGGTTCCCACGAAAAGGAATATCCTGTAATGTTCAGAGAACATCGTGAGAACCAAGGGAAATAAGATTTCTGGAGGTTATATGCCTCGGGGAACACCTCCCTTGGCAATGTGTTCCAGAGCCTCGCTGTTCGTTGGATGAACGAGTCTTTCGAAAGAGATGTTCTGCAGGTGTTCAAAGTGACCACGAAGGGGTGCGAAGCCTAAACTCGACGTGTTAATCTCGCGGGGACTGCCAATGGAGGAACAATTGTTGATATTTCAGAAGAGCATCGTCCATGAAAATATCTATAAAATAGAGCCAGATCGCCAACTTTTCTACGGTGTTCCAGAGAAGTGAGTGAGTTTGTGAGCGAGGCATCAGCCACGAGACGAATTGGTCTTTTCTGGACAGAATCCAACAGTTTCAGGGTATGTTTGGGTGCTGCACTCCAAATATGGGAACAGTATTCCAGGACAGTATTTACAAAATGGTCCAAAAATTAGTAATCGAGGACATCATTATGGTACAAACGGAATTAGGAACAGTTATACATTTAACAAAAAAGTTCCCTAATGGGTTATTGTGGAAATTTTTCAAAATAACATGTTGTAATTGTTTATTTCTTCCTTCTTGGACCTGATTTAAACAATCCTTTGTTGAATGTATGGTCTGTTCCTAATTCCGTTTGTACCATAATGATGTCGTAAATAGGTACTTGACGAGTAAGTAATCTACACTTTCTGATTTGTCTTTTTGAAAATTCATAAATGTTAGTTACTTGCAGGTATAGCACTGATGATGGCTTTTTAGCCGAAAGCGCTTTGCGATTTTATAATAAATTTTACTTTACGATGGCAAAAAGTGGGGTTAGATGGGAAGATGAAGTTATTTAAAAAATATAAAAAAAGCTATTTTCAGTTTTCTCAAATAGTGGCTGGAAACTCCATATGTGCTCATGAAATTGAATTCTATTCAACTTCATCAACATCACTACTGTCAGAAAAAAAAAGAGAATTGTAACAAAATTGAAGAATATTCGAAAAAATATAGCTATATTCCCAATTCTCCTCCAAAAATTGCTCGAAACTGAATGTGGAATAGCAACTTAATAAGAAATGTTTATGGATATTTTGTTATCTAACCCCACTTCTCGCCGCTTTATAGTATTATTTTTATTTATCACCATACCAGTGATCACGTGACATGTGTCAAAATCGATTTTCAAGTTATCGGATATGCATAATGGATCGCCGGGAGAAAAAAATTCGATGCTGTGATAATAAACCTGTTCTCATATGCTATGGACTTAATGGATGATACTTGATACTGTTTATATCTGTTAGTAAACATCTCTGTCCTGCTTGAAATAACAAAGTCTTGCCAAAATACGATCAAATTTTTCAGTTTAAACTAGTTAAAATTAAAGGTGATAGTGCAATTTCTCTCATTTTTAAAAATTTGAATGAATTCATGACTTTTTCGAAAAAAGTCAATGGAATTAATTCACGAATTAAATCACTGATTTATTTCATATGAATTAATTCATGCCAACCCTGTTCTAAAATACCAAATACGAATACGAAGTTCATAAACTATGAATTGTATTCCTGATATTTGAGCTAAAAAATAAAATCTATTTCTCTGCATTGTGATATTGTGAGGACGTTTAGGTCATACGTCAAGAATTGCCTCCCCAAATATTGACATTCAATTATGAAACACCCTGTATAGCATAAAGTAGTGGAGATGACTTTGAGCTTTCCTTCTTCCTTTTTGATATATATTTTCTTGTTTTCGATAGGCTTTATGACCACTATGGTTGGTGGAGGAATTTGAGGAAGATCGAGGATTCACCGTGTAAAGAGGATATGGCGATCTATTTGGCAAAACTAGATAATGGTACATCTTGGGCTCTGAAGAGTACGTATAACTTTAACTACTTTCACCTGGGTGCGAAATAACTGGTATTCCACATGTGATATTATGCTATTTTGTCGATATAAAAGTAGATCGTTGCGTAACGGAGATTCTTGTTGTTGCGGCTTAGTTTTTAGTGCATTTCTGGTAAACAAATCAATCTTGAATGCAGAGTCGGATTCAAGCACAAATACGTACAATTTGGTGAAACATTTTCTGTTTGTTGTTGAAAAAATGATATCCTGACTTGATCTCAAATTTCCCTGAAAGTTACAATAATGAATTATTTTGAATATTTTCCTCACATATAAAATGTATCATAAGAGCAATGCAATTATCGAAAAATTACAGTGAAAATTGCACTGCAGAGCAAAGAAAATACTGCGAAAACATCCCATCGTTTGGCATTTCATATTTGTTGGTAGGTTATAAATATTCTCATCACATAGAGAATGCGAATTCTCAATGTATTGCTTTATATAAATATATATCCATTTTTATATGTTCATGATTTATCTGAGAATATTCCTTTTCAACACTATAAAATGTCACTTTTCATAAATTACTTTTTTCCCGTGGGAAAAAAGTGATACCTTTTTTCCCGGATATATGTTATATATCACATATTATACAGGGTGTTATTTAAGTACGTGGCCAAACTTGAAGGGGTGATTCTTTGGATGATTCTATATAAGACGAAAAGTTCATATAAACATAGGTCCGGTAATGCTTCGTTTTCAAGATACAGGGTGTCAAAATTTTTAAAAGAAATCGTTTTTTTCGTAAATATCTTAATAACCCTTCAGCCGATTTTATTGAAATTTGGCAGTGTTATTCAAGGTCGTGAAGGGCTAATTTGACTCTAACTATATCAAAATTATCATGTCCAGTGGCGTCCCGGAAGGCACTGTAACCAATATTTTTGACAAAAAAAATGAGCGCCACTGATTTTTTTGCAATTTTTGTATTTGTTTCACATTGAGCAACTAAAATTACAACTTTTTTATATCTAGAATTTTTTTCGTATCTCGCTTTGTTTTTGAGAAAAAACATAAAAATCACTTCATTGCACATCCCTGTGACGAGCCGAAGCCAAGAGCCGAAGGCAAGTGCTGCAATTCATACATACATATTTTTTGTTTTTTCATTGCATCCATTCTGATAGAAAATTCCAAGTCTAGAATAAAGTATTAATATGAAAAAATATTAGTAAGACCCCAATTTTTGATGGTTTAGTAGTTGAAATGTTTTATTGTGTTGTCACAGGGATGTGCAATGAAGTGATTTTTATGTTTTTTCTCAAAAACAAAGCAAGATACGAAAAAAATTCTAGATATAAAAAAGTTGTAATTTTAGTTGCTCAATGTGAAACAGATACAAAAATTGCAAAAAAATCAGTGGCGCACATTTTTTTTGTCAAAAATATTGGTTACAGTGCCGTCCGGGACGCCATTGGACATGATAATTTTGATATAGTTAGAGTCAAATTAGCCCTTCACGACCTTGAATAACACTGCCAAATTTCAATAAAATCGGCTGAAGGGTTATTAAGATATTTACGAAAAAAACGATTTCTTTTAAAAATTTTGACACCCTGTATCTTGAAAACGAAACATTACCGGACCTATGTTTATATGAACTTTTCGTCTTAGAATCACTCAAACAATCACTCCTTCAAGTTTGGCCACATACTTAAATAACACCCTGTATTGTGCTATAGTTCCGAAAATGAGTCAATAAGCAATTCCTTTTATCTTCCATTCGAATTCGCGGTTACATATATTACTAAACAACCACTAAGTTCGCAATTTTTTTAAATCAAATCACAGAATTAGACTGACAAAAGTGACATCAGATATTTGATTACTTCAAAAGAATGATAAAGATGCCTACAACGCAGGTGTCCCTACTGTTGAAAACTTAAAATTTCACGTCGATAATCTTCAGATTTCAAAATGATGTAATATCTTCTCAATATTGATTTGTCCTCTCTTCTGTCACAGAAAAAAAAAGTGTATTATACACTGGAAAAATATTTAGATTTTAGCTCACGGTTTTTTGTCTCCCTTCGCTACGCGTCGAGAGACAACACAACCTGGAGCTAAAATCTACAACTCTTTTCCCTTCTATAATAAATAACTATTTTTCTGTGACGGGAAAAAAGTTCGACAGTTCGTCTCTGTTGGCAGGATGGTAATATACAGTCTCCATTTTTTTCCGTTCGTCCTCTGGCATTGCCTTTCCTAGTATACGAATATGTCCGCGGTTTTTTCGTTGTCACTCGAAAGCTTTCCATCATCTTCACTATTATATATGTATCTTTTCAGTCGAGGAACCGACAAAAATTATCACTCACTTCTATGTAAAAACTTGAAATGTCACGTCGATAATTCTCTGATTTTAATATAATGTAATATCTTCTCTTCTCTTTCCTGTCACAGAAAAAAATATTGTTTACACGGGAAAAATATTAGATTGCAGCTCACTATTTTGTTTTCTTCCTCCGCTACACATCGGGAGACAGCACAACCTCGAGCTAAAATCTGCTACTTAAAAAGTATGAACGAATATCTGGAAATTCTGAAGTCTCTTCCATATTACCTCGTATAAACCTCATGAGGACTTACTGTATCTATCTTCATTAGTATGAAAAACATTATATCGAATCTATCGCAATTCTGCAGTCTCTTTCATATTTCCTCGTGAAAAGTTACTGTATTTATACATTTCACAATTTTCGACAATGACCGACAGTATATTTCTTTTTCGGAACATAGCGATTTTCATCATCACGTTCAAGCATATTCTTCTTCATCCCGGGACAATCTGGACATATTTTTCAACGCACCATGTATATCCATCGTCCAGAATGAATATAAATTTCATGCTTCTGGAACTACAATAGTAATTTTCTGAATTTTTTTATTTTTTTTAACGAAAATGCATCATTCTGATTAAAAATGCGTACCTTCATTATATGACCTTCGATCCAAGAAATTACAAAACCATTTCGAGGTCAGACACCAGACATCTTCATGACGAAGTAACACTCCATTATTCCACTAGAAACACAGAACTACTGAAGACTACGTTATTTTCCATTTCATCATTCATTATTCCTTGTATCACTTTGTATACACTTCTTCAGAATTTTCTGTGTTCGAAGACAATCACATATCCGACGACTATAAATACAACGTTGATTCTTCGAAAAATAATTCCAACTTCCAATTTCATTCAATTAATTGTCGAAAAAATGCATCATTTTGAATAAATATTCATAACACGATGATCAAAGCTCTGAATTTGAAAATTCCGAAAAAGTTTCGAGAGAAAGAATCAATCAAGAGGATGCAGGTGAGAAAAAAGAATAAGAAAAAATATCTGTTCAAACGGTAATGTGACGACCACGATGCAATTTTACACCCATTCATTTATCACCCTGTGGCAATGTTATCTGAAATTACAGTAGTTCCATATTGCCATAACAAAATGCCAATAAGTGATTAGACTAATCATCGGTGAAAACCGATTTTAAATTGATGATTAAATGCATGAGTTATTCTACTTTGAATTTTGGACCACTACATTATCAATGTTGACCAGTATATTTAGTTTTTTTTTTAATTTTCGATACCTACTCGATATATGATCATATATTTTCTTCACCAGTGTTCGACGCATCAGGAAGGTACTCTGGTCAATTCTTCTTTGGAAACGATTATTGGCTGGGTTCTAAAACCCTCTGTGAAGAATTAGCTAATGTCGAGACAAACAGCGAGGTACCACCTTTCGATGTCCAGTTTTATGTCGCCAAAATCAGGATCAATCTCAACAAGATCGATACTCCAGTGGTGAGTATATATGAGTATATGAGTGAGAATATTTTCGAAGAGACTTGAAGATAGCGGACGTCAACGATTCAATGTATTGGATAAACCGGAAGTGCTTTATAAACAAAAACAATCACATCAGATGCATCTTGCACAATTGCACCTGTCTGCAAAGCTTCATGAATTTCGTCCTTTTCGTTTCAAAGATATTTAATTGGATTAATATACTTTATTCCAACCCTGATACATACATGAAATTTTCATCTTGAAAAAATATCTTCTTCAAGGTGTTGAATTCCTACTGGAAAAAACTGACTCATGGATCTTCGGAAGCAATAATAGGCGTGTACACCTTGGTAGAACTTTTAACTCAAGCCATGTTTATATAATGATCCTTTCATACATAAATAATGATTGACGACATAATTCGATCGAAAAATTTACTGGAATGTTCAATTTTTGGACATAAATAATAGTACCATCTGAAAACGGACCCTCTCATGACGTAGAAACCTCATCTCGCCATAGTTAAAAGAAAATACCAAACGCCGGACGGAGACTGAGGCACTCTGCCAGAATTCATCTCTCTCTGGAATAGTCCTGTTTCAGTATTAGGGTTTTGACGTCACATCATCCCCTCGTTTTCAGAGGTCCGAAAAATCTGGGATTTCAATAATTTTTTATAAAACGTAGGGAGCTCACAGCGATAAACGGTTTGCGGTGGTGAACTAGTTTGGGTGAGTTCTATCGAATTATGGAATAAAAATTTTTGGTGATATAAGCCCATTGACCGATTTGGGTGGATGTGAATTCGTACGTTGAGTTGAAGTTATTGAAAGTTGTGCGCCTGCGGAATTTTTGGTGGATGCGCTCATGGGATTTAACTCCAGCACACGACGCGATGCTCCTTTTACTCACAGGAAAACATAATGTAACAGGAGTTTTCCCGAAAATTGGGAAAGCGACAACCTGTTAAGATTTCTTCAATATAGAGAGTGATTCATTGAGGATGGGCAATCTCTGAAGTACAGCAGATAGTAAACTTGAAATGTATATATTTCTCTTTGGTTTATTCAAAATTACAATACTTGATTTCAGTTTGGGGTACAGCTAGATTATCAATCATGAAGCCAATCAAAATCCTTCAAAACAAAGTTATTAAATGTATATACAAACTAGATTACTTGGAACCAACAAGAAATCTTTATAAACCTAGGCAATTGTTAGATATAAACTCCATTTACAAATTCAAAATATTGAATTTCATCCATTCCGTCAAATATAATTATAAACATTCAAATCTGAATTTTGAAGTCAATAGTCATAAACACGAACACATAACCAGACAAAAAGATATGTTAACTCTCATCAAAATTAAATCAGATATGGGTAAAAGATCTATTTTATACAATGGAACAATTCTCTATAATGAATTACCTGCCAGACTAAAGAAAAAATTAAGTGTTGAAAAATTCAAAAAAGAACTGAAAAAATACTTATGTCTTTGATTCTCTTCATGTCATCCTGAATCAATTCAAGAAATTATATTCAACAGTCTCTAGAAGAAACAACATTATATGTATTATGTATATGATTAAAAAATGTTTATCTGATTATCTAATTTATTTTTTTTTTTTTTAGTTGCTCTTTCATAATTTTCCCTGCTATAAACATATATGTTTCTTGGGAATAATAAAGATAATAATAATATAATAACTAATCACTAGTACGACTCTATAATCTTTCTTTGGCTGTCGATGCGGGCTTATGATAAACCCGAAACATGCTCCACCCATTGTAACATCCACATGTTTTTATTAAAAGTCGTTATTGAGATCATACTTCGGGATTTATTCCTCCTTCATAAAAATACCCTAAAAAATATCTCAAATATTTTCCAGACTCGTCAACTCAACTTGGGCGAATGCCTGCCCAAATCTTGCGGGGTAGGTGGTACACGCACCCTATTGGCCCAGGAAAACAACCAAGCGGCCTCCCTGAATATCGTGGGGGTTAGAAAAGTGCCGGGAGATTATTCTCTGCTCTCCGACTTGAAAGTTCACCTCGTAGGGTAAGCATGCAATTTTTCATAGCACAAAAAGGTGTGTAAAGCGATATGTTCTATGAATCGTGTTTCCATACCATGTCGTGTTTGTCCAATGTATGCCCCGAAGCGCTTCTACACAACAGGATATGCCCAAGAAAGTGCTTCAAGCGAAGTGGTCTTTGAGTCGTGTTGGGTTTGTCCAAATTCTCGATAAATATGTCAAGACACGTATAACTGGTACACCAACATGAAAGGAGTTCTGACATTCCTCACAAATCAAGAATAATCAAATTATATTAATTCCATTTTTCAAAATTCCACAAGTCAGAAATCAAGTTATGTCAAGTATGTTCAAATCTTAACATCTAACATAAGAAAAATGACACTGAAATTCAAAAAAATTTTAAAATAAAAATATTGGCGAAAATTTCGTCGTGAAGTGAATAGCTGCAACAAGTTCAAAAAAATTGAGAATGTCAATATATTGAAGCATTGTCATGTTCATGTTCCACAAGTCGTCAGAATCGAATTGAAAAGAAGCACTATATTCAAACAATCGATATATTGGGCAAACTCGTAAAATGAAAGTTGCCTGATTCAAAGAACACAAAATTGTTTTCAGTGGATACGGCTTAGTGGTGCTCTTCCTGATCATAGCAGCTTCGTTCGTGGAATTTTTCAACGCTAGACGTTCAAAAACCGAGGAAATTTATTCAACTGCAGAAAGCAACAACAACTCGAAATACAGTAGCACCAAAGACAGTCTCAACGGCAGCAGCGAAATCAGCTTGGGCTGTGAAAAGAGCGAAAAGAAGAAGAAGAAGAAGAAGAACGGTAACGCAGCAACGCAACAAGTGTCTATCTTTAAATTAATTAACCTGGAAGTGTTATTTGCAGGTATCCCTCTGAGACTGCTGCTTTCCTTCTCAGCTATAAGCAATGGGAAAAAAATCATCTCCGTCGAGAAACCTTCTCTGGAGTCTATACATTGCATCCACGGACTGAGATTCTTCTCGATAAGCTGGATCATATTGGTTCACAGCTTTCTGGAAGTTTTCGCGGTCTCAGACAATAAGAACTACCGAATTTTGACAGAGAGGTCTTTCACCTACCAAACTATATCGAATGCAACTTTCTCTGTCGATACTTTCTTCTTCATAAGGTCAGTTTTAACGAGCTATAGTTGTTTTTTCTCTATGAACGTTAGACACCAACGTCTCAAATGTGTTATTTTCCTATAATTCATTTAATAGAACTAATTTTTATTTCATTTTTCATTTCTTTGATTTGATTTTCAACCTTTCTGCAACGTTTCTTATATTTATTGTTGCGAACATAAACAGTAGGAGTCGCCAAGCTATAGCCATCCCCCTCCGCTCCACTTTGACCTCTCTTACCATTTACATCTTCGTTGAACACTAACTATAATTATGTTCCTAGTAATATTCCATCACAACGAAAGTGATATCTTGTTGAAAGTTTTTATATGTCATATCATCATTCAATCTTGTGTTCATATGAATAATGCATTGATTATCAGTCACACAATCATTTTCCAGAGACGAATCACATGAACTTCGCACGTTCATTTTAGTAGATAAACGAGGGGAGTTCTGCAACAGGACGAAAATTCAAGTGGTAGGGGGTGGCTACACTCCAGCAACTCCTATCAGTATCACACAGAATTTCATCCCCAAGTACAAAACTCTCTTTACAGCGGTCTTCTCGTCACCCTTACCTACTTCAGGACGGAGTATCCCAAACACCAAGCCGCTAACAGCGATCTCCAAGCCAGCTGCACCTGCTTCAGAACCAGTCTGGCCAAGTTCCTCTGGATGATCGTTTACAGGTTCTTCAGGCTCACTCCCCCCTATCTTTTCGTGTTGGGGGTGAACGAGATCGTGATGAGATATTTGCACTCGAACTCGGTGTTTTCTCCGGCTATTATAGATCACGTGAGCTGCGACAGCTACTGGTGGAGGAACGTGCTGTACATCAACAATTTCTTTCCCCAGCACGAGTTCTGTATGCTGTGGTCCTGGTATATAGCTAATGATACGCAGTTTTACGTGATAGCTAGCTTTTTGCTGGTGATTGCTGTTAGGTAAGTGATGATGTTGATTCTGAATGTACAGTCGTCTTCAGAGATCATGTCGCGGTTGGATGGTGTCAGCGCTCTTATTGTTAGAGTTATTAAGAATGCTATCATCCTCCATGTGCGACATGTTTTCTGAAGACGACTGTACCAGCTTGCAAGCGTCATGGAAGCATCACGGATCTGCCGAAAAGTCTTGATGAGCAAAGAAGGTGGAAAAACGCACTTCTTCATAGCTCTAGAAGGGCAGTACACCGCGAAAGTGAATGTTTCCTCAATATGAACAGATTCAATATCGAAAAATGTTGATGGTTGGAAATACAGCGCTTCATCCTTTTTTTTCAACATACTCAGTATTGAATCGGATTTTGGAACATTCCTAATGATTCATCATTCTCAATATTGAAGCATTTTTAATATTTATTTTATTTATTTATTTATTGAACAAATAACTTCCAGACAGAATAGACTCTGGTATAAGGAAGTACATAATTATATACCTAAACGTAAACATATCATTATTCAAAATATATCAACAACTATAGATTGGCAAATAGAGAATAATATTTGTGAAAAAAATGGCATGACTAATTTTATCCAGTTCGCTCAAAAATAATCAGTTTTTTTACTTCATTTTTGAATGTACCTATATTTCTGCAATATTTTATATTGTCAGGTAGTTTATTGAATTCACTCAAGGCTGAATGAGTGAATCTTTTTTGTCCGATTATCGAGCTAGCGGCGTCAAAATGAAACAATAAGTTATATTGTCTAGTTTCATGATTATGAATTTCAGAATTCCGTATCATAATAAAATTCGACTTCACTTTTGTATTAATGATATTATATGATATTTTAAGAGTTTCAATTCTATATATTTCATCTAAAGAATACGTATTTGTTATTTCAAACAATTGATTGGTTGGTGTATCAAATGGGAGAGGATACAATACTTTTAACGATTTTCTTTATAATGTTGATATTTTATTGAAATTATTTCTTGAACAAGATCCCCAAACATTTTTATTGAATAGTTAATACGACTCAGAGTAGAGAATCACGTTCGCACTTTTAATATCAAGTTTGGGACATCTTCTCAATGCACCAATAATTGGAGATATTTTTTTGTCAGAACATCAATATGTTTGTCCCACTTCAACCTGGTCATCAAACAAAATAACAAGATATTCCAACTGGTCAGTTTGTTTTAAGAGTTCATTTTTTATTTTAAGGTTGAGGTAAATTTTTTGGTGGAAAATCATATCTTCTGTTTTGTTAGTATTTATCGATAAAAGGTTAGAGTGGAACCATTTTTCAAATATTTTCAAGTCTTCATTTATCATATTTATTGGTTCTTGGAATGATAAATTTGATCCCTGCGTTCATTACAACAGAGATTGGTAAGGTTAGTTTTCTTTCAGGGGCCCCAAACACCTCAAATTCGCCTCGATCCTCCTAGCCATTCTATTAGCCACCTCTTGGATAGTCACCTTCCTCATAGCCTTGGAATGGCAGTACACGGCGAGGGTAGAAGAGCCCTTCGCCCTTTTCGACCAGCTCTACGACAAACCCTGGCTGCGCATAGGGCCCTATCTGGTGGGCATGATGGCCGGCTACGGTCTTTTCAGGATGAAGTCCCGTTTGGGGATGCCCCGCCACTTGGTGGCGCTGGGGTGGTGCCTTGCGGTGGTGTGTTTGGGGTGTCTGGTGTACGGCCTGGGCAGGAAGGGGTTGGTCGTACCTGCGTCGGCGTTTTATGTGAGTGGAACTTTTTTCATACAGGGAGGGGATGGTTAGTGGATATTTTGAAATGATCAATCTTTGGCTTTTGTTTCTGATTAATTGATTATCATTCAAGTATTTATGCTCGAGAGACGAAATAAACAAATGAACCCTTGAACCCCGAAATTTCGCACTTTCATTTTAGTAGATAGACGAAGGGAGTTCTGCAACAGAATGAGAATGGAGCATCCGCGCATGCAAAACTCATGATGATTCGCATGCACAGTTCACGCCATTCTCAAATGAACTGTAGGTGGGTTTTGATCTGATGTCATCTGGTGGAGCATTATAGAACGGGAGATTTTCGAAAGGTACTTGTTTTGTAAGTAGGTACTCGGAGGCTTTTGGTTCTTATGTTGTAATCATGGATATCAGACTGTTGTTGGAAGTTAATTAGGTATTTTCTGGTGAAATTGACACACTTCAAGATGTAAATAGATGGTACTGTTAATATTCCATATTTTTTGAATATTTCTCGACAACTTGCACGATATTCCAAATCGAAAATCAGTCTTACTATTCTCTTTTGCGATACTAAAACTCTGTTGAAATCATTAGCACTTCCCCAAGATATTATATTGTATGTAAGATGACAGTAAGCAAATGCATAGTAAAGGTTAATTAGAGTTTCTTCATTGAGATAAGAATTCATTTGTAAGATTCCATACAAAGCTTTATTAAGTTTATCGCATACATGATTGATATGATGATCAAAGCTCAAATCAGAGTCGAGCCAAGTACCTAAAAGTTTAGCATGTGTTGTAAAAGGGAAAATAAACTTTTCTTTGATCGAATTGGGCAACGTTTTATGAAGGTGAAAATTCACATATACTGTTTTCTCTTTGTTGAGAATTAAAGAGTTTTTGTGACACCAAATTTCCATTTCTTTACATATTTTCGACCGTTATCGTTGTATCGTCTGCAAACATATAGTAACTATACCTTCACTGATAAAAGTAGGTAAGTCATTTACAAATAGTAAGAACAATAACGGCCCTAAGACAGATCCCTGAGGAACTCCTAGTGAAGCTGGGAACTCATTTGATAATTCGTTGTCAATTTTCACTATGAGATGGCGGTTTTCTGATTAAGTTTCGATCCAATTCAATAAAGTACCTCTAATACCAAGGGTATATAATTTTCTCAATATGAATTGTGAATTCAGACTGTCGAAAGTCTTAGACAAATCGAACAAAAGCGATACAACATAGTTGCCATTATCAAGCTCTGTGTAGACATAATTGATGAGTTGAAGGGTTTGCTTGTATCCGTTTATTATAATCGATGGAAAGACAATCTTTATATTCATGATTCATTGATTACTATTCAAATATTCATGCTCGAGAGACGAAATAAACGAATGAACCCTTAAACCCCGAAATTTCGCACCTTCATTCTAGTAGATAGGCGAAGGGAGTTCTGCAACAGAATGAAAATGGAGTATCTGCGCATGCGAAACTCATGATGCGCATGCACAGCTGCACATCTACACATGCGCTGGCATGGATCACAGTGGCGTGCTGCATGGACAACTAGGGCACCATGTCATATTCGATCACACAAAATTGATATTTTGTGAAGGTTTTGCTCGTATCCGTCCATTATAATCGATGAAAAGACAATCTTTATATTTATGATTCATTGAAACATTCAAATATTCATGCTCGAGAGATGAAATAAACAAATGAACCCTAGAGTTTTAGTAGATAGGCGAAGGGAGTTCTGCAACAGAATGAAAATGGAGCATCTGCGCATGCGAAACTCATGATGATGCGCATGCACAGTTGCACAACTACACTACAACTTGAATTATCCATTTTGATCCGTCGTTTTCCTACTATAGGCTGCTCTGGGCCATTCCGCCTGGGGCCTAGCGCTGGCATGGATCACAGTGGCGTGCTGCACGGGCAACGGAGGCCCGATAAACGGGTTGCTCAGCTTCAAGCTCTTCCTGCCGCTCAGCAGGCTCACCTATTGCGCCTACTTGATCCACCCGGTGCTGATGTGCTTCACCAGCTTCTACATGGACGGGCCCATGCATTTGCATCGAATTATGGCGGTGAGTTGGTGATTCGATAGGGAGTTCTTTTCGTGCGATCCGAATGTTCCAAAAGGATATTCACCTATTCGAAAAGTGATTCAGCGGTTTAACTAAGATTGTAAATTCCTTCAATTATTTTTGACTAGTACTACATATTTAGAAAGAAACAGTCTCGCATATACACCTAGATACGGAATAATACAGTTTCTTCAATCGAAATATATCACCCTGTATCCAAACCTTGGTTTTATAACTATGTCAATTTAAGACGTAACTTTGTTTTTTTTTCAGATCGTCGTTTTTTGTGGAAATTTGGTTCTATCATTTCTGAGTGCATTTATTATCTCCTTAGCATTCGAGGCTCCTGTAGTGAATCTCTTGAAGATAGTTTTTTCCTGAGCTATGTATATTATGTATATTGTTACCAATAAAATGTGTAGATATCCGAATATAGTCGAAATAAAATTGAATATTTTGATACGAATAACGTGTTTTTATTGTGATTTTGATTGACTGAAGAATCTCAGTGACCTGACAGGGGAAAGAAAATCACTGATACCTTGGAAATTGTGACAAATAGAAGAAGAAAAAAATTATTTTATAATCGTGTTCAGCACATCGAGAACACTCTGTAAACACATTATTAGGAAATTTTGTGATTTTACTGGAATCGACAAAAATCCAAGGTGTTAGCCTTTTTTCTTTCTTGGCTACAAAAATCGAAATGGTCGTAAGGCTTCCAAATTGGGTATGAAAATTCCTAATGCAATAGCCTATCTCTTGATAGAATCATTCGATCATCTGTTGTGGCATTGAAAAAAATTTACGAACTTTTTTCCATCTTAGATTCACTGAGGAATCAGAGTGACCAAGCAGGGGACAGAAAATCACGCATAGCTTGAAAACTATCATAAACAGAGAAAACTCCAAATCATTTTCGTGTTCAGCACATCGAGAACACTCTGTATACAAATTTTCAAACCATATTGTGATTTTGCTGCAATCGAGGAAAATCCAAGGTGTTAGCTTTCTTTCTTTTATGGCTTCAAAAATCTAAATGGTCGTAGAGCTTCCAAATTCGGTATGTAGATTCCTAATGTAATTGCCTATCTCCCACTAGAATCATTCGATCTGTCGTGGCATTGAAAAAAAATTACGAACTTCTTTCCATCTCAGATTCATTGAGGAATCAGACTGACCAGGCAGGGGACAGAAAATCACGAATAGCTTGAGAACTATAATAAATGGAGGAATATGTACATCATTTTCGTGTTCAGCACATCGAGAACACTCTGTATACAAATTTTCAAACCATTCTGTGATTTTGCTGCAATCGAAAAAAGTCCAAGGTGTTAGCCTTCTTTCTTTATTGGCTACAAATATCGAAATGGTCGTAAGGCTTCCAAATTCGGTATGAAGATTGCTAATGCAATCGTCTATCTCCCACTAGAATCATTCGATCATCTGTCGTGGCATTGAAAAAAATTTACGAATTTTTTTCCATCGTGATTCACTGAGGAATCAGAGTGACCAAGCAGGGGACAGAAAATCACGCATAGCTCAAAAACTATCATAAACAGAGAAAACTCTAAATCATTTTCGTGTTCAGCACATCGAGAACACGCTGTATACAAATTTTCAAAACATATTGTGATTTTGCTGCAATCGAGGAAAATCCAAGGTGTTAGCTTTCTTTCTTTTATGGCTTCAAAAATCTAAATGGTCGTAGAGCTTCCAAATTCGGTATGTAGATTCCTAATGTAATTGCCTATCTCCCACTAGAATCATTCGATCTGTCGTGGCATTGAAAAAAAGTTACGAACTTCTTTCCATCTCAGATTCATTGAAGAATCAGACTGACCAGGCAGGGGACAGAAAATCACGAATAGCTTGAGAACTATAATAAATGGAGGAATATGTACATCATTTTCGTGTTCAGCACATCGAGAACACTCTGTATACAAATTTTCAAACCATTCTGTGATTTTGCTGCAATCGAAAAAAGTCCAAGGTGTTAGCCTTCTTTCTTTATTGGCTACAAATATCGAAATGGTCGTAAGGCTTCCAAATTCGGTATGAAGATTGCTAATGCAATCGTCTATCTCCCACTAGAATCATTCGATCATCTGTCGTGGCATTGAAAAAAATTTACGAATTTTTTTCCATCGTGATTCACTGAGGAATCAGAGTGACCAAGCAGGGGACAGAAAATCACGCATAGCTCAAAAACTATCATAAACAGAGAAAACTCTAAATCATTTTCGTGTTCAGCACATCGAGAACACGCTGTATACAAATTTTCAAACCATATTGTGATTTTGCTGCAATCGAGGAAAATCCAAGGTGTTAGCTTTCTTTCTTTTATGGCTTCAAAAATCTAAATGGTCGTAGAGCTTCCAAATTCGGTATGTAGATTCCTAATGTAATTGCCTATCTCCCACTAGAATCATTCGATCTGTCGTGGCATTGAAAAAAAATTACGAACTTCTTTCCATCTCAGATTCATTGAGGAATCAGACTGACCAGGCAGGGGACAGAAAATCACGAATAGCTTGAGAACTATAATAAATGGAGGAATATGTACATCATTTTCGTGTTCAGCACATCGAGAACACTCTGTATACAAATTTTCAAACCATTCTGTGATTTTGCTGCAATCGAAAAAAGTCCAAGGTGTTAGCCTTCTTTCTTTATTGGCTACAAATATCGAAATGGTCGTAAGGCTTCCAAATTCGGTATGAAGATTGCTAATGCAATCGTCTATCTCCCACTAGAATCATTCGATCATCTGTCGTGGCATTGAAAAAAATTTACGAATTTTTTTCCATCGTGATTCACTGAGGAATCAGAGTGACCAAGCAGGGGACAGAAAATCACGCATAGCTCAAAAACTATCATAAACAGAGAAAACTCTAAATCATTTTCGTGTTCAGCACATCGAGAACACGCTGTATACAAATTTTCAAAACATATTGTGATTTTGCTGCAATCGAGGAAAATCCAAGGTGTTAGCTTTCTTTCTTTTATGGCTTCAAAAATCTAAATGGTCGTAGAGCTTCCAAATTCGGTATGTAGATTCCTAATGTAATTGCCTATCTCCCACTAGAATCATTCGATCTGTCGTGGCATTGAAAAAAAGTTACGAACTTCTTTCCATCTCAGATTCATTGAAGAATCAGACTGACCAGGCAGGGGACAGAAAATCACGAATAGCTTGAGAACTATAATAAATGGAGGAATATGTACATCATTTTCGTGTTCAGCACATCGAGAACACTCTGTATACAAATTTTCAAACCATTCTGTGATTTTGCTGCAATCGAAAAAAGTCCAAGGTGTTAGCCTTCTTTCTTTATTGGCTACAAATATCGAAATGGTCGTAAGGCTTCCAAATTCGGTATGAAGATTGCTAATGCAATCGTCTATCTCCCACTAGAATCATTCGATCATCTGTCGTGGCATTGAAAAAAATTTACGAATTTTTTTCCATCTTGATTCACTGAGGAATCAGAGTGACCAAGCAGGGGACAGAAAATCACGCATAGCTTAAAAACTATCATAAACAGAGAAAACTCTAAATCATTTTCGTGTTCAGCACATCGAGAACACTCTGTATACAAATTTTCAAACCATGTTGTGATTTTGCTGCGATCGAAAAAAATCCAAGGTGGTTAGCCTTCTTTCTTTTTTGGCTACAAAAATCGAAATTGTCGTAGGGCTTCCAAATTCGGTATGAATATTCCTAATGCAATTGCCTATCTGCCTAGATTCTCTGTAGAATAAGAGTACCAAGCAGGGGACAGAAAATCACGCATAGCTTGAAAACTACCACAAACAGAGAAAACTCTAAATCATTTTCGTGTTCAGCACATCGAGAACACTCTGTATACAAATTTTCAAACCATATTGGGATTTTGCTGCATTCGAGAAAAATCCAAGGTGTTAGCTTTCTTTCTTTTATGGCTTCAAAAATCTAAATGGGCGTAGAGCTTCCAAATTCGGTATTAAGATTCCTAATGTAATTGCCTATCTCCCACTGGAATCATTCGATCTGTCGTGGCATTGAAAAAAAGTTACGAACTTTTTTCCATCTCAGATTCATTAAGGAATCAGAGTGACTAGGCAGGGGACAGAAAATCACGAATAGTTTGAAAACTATAATAAATTGAGGAATATATGTACATCATTTTCGTGTTCAGCACATCGAGAACACTCTGTATACAAATTTTCAAACCATGTTGTGATTTTGCTGCAATCGAAAAAAATCCAAGGTGTTAGCCTTCTTTCTTTTTTGGCTACAAAAATCGAAATGGTCGTAGGGCTTCCAAATTCGGTATGAAGATTCCTAATGTAATTGCCTATCTCCCACTAGAATCATTCAATCTGTCGTGGCATTGGAAAAAATTTAAGAATTTTTTTCCATGTTGATTCACTGAGGAATCAGAGTGACCAAGCAGGGGACAGAAAATCACGCATAGCTTAAACAGAAAAAACTCTGAATCATTTTCGTGTTCAGCACATCGAGAACACTCTGTATACAAATTTTCAAACCATGTTGTGATTTTGCTGCGATCGAGAAAAATCCAAGGTGTTAGCCTTCTTTGTTTTTTGGCTACAAAAATCGAAATGGGTCGTAGGGCTTCCAAATTCGGTAAGAAGATTCCTAATGCAATTGCCTATCTCCCACTAGAATCATTCGATCGGTCGTGGCATTGAATAAAAGTTACGAACTTTTTTCCATCTCAGATTCAATAAGGAATCAGAGTGACCAAGCAGGGGACAGAAAATCACGCATAGCTTGAAAACTATCATAAACAGAGAAAACTCTAAATCATTTTCGTGTTCAGCACATCGAGTACACTCTGTATACAAATTTTCAAACCATGTTGTGATTTTGCTGCGATCGAAAAAAATCCAAGGTGTTAGCCTTCTTTCTTCTTTGGCTACAAAAATCGAAATGGTCGTATAGGGCTTCCAAATTCGGTATGAAGATTCCTAATGCAATAGCCTATCTCCCACTAGAATCATTTCGATCTGTCGTGGCATTGAAGAAAAGTTACGAACTTCTTTCCATCTCAGATTCATTGAGGAATGAGAGAGACCAGGCAGGGGACAGAAAATCACGCATAGCTTGAAAACTATCATGAACAGAGAAAACTCTAAATCATTTTCGTGTTCAGCACATCGAGGACACTCTGTATACAAATTTTCAAACCATATTGTGATTTTGCTGCGATCGAGAAAAATCCAAGGTGTTAGCCTTCTTCCTTCTTTGGCTACAAAAATCGAAATGGTCGTAGGGCTAACAAATTCGGTATGAAGATTCCTAATGCAATAGCCTATCTCCCACTAGAATCATTTCGATCTGTCGTGGCATTGAAGAAAAGTTACGAACTTCTTTCCATCTCAGATTCATTGAGGAATGAGAGAGACCAGGCAGGGGACAGAAAATCACGCATAGCTTGAAAACTATCAT